AATCTTATTCTTAGTCATGATTGGTCTAGAATACAGATTCAGTGCATTTTCTAACAAAAATATATGATGTAATTGATAGGTTAAGAATTAGTACGTGTAAAAGTAGGTTTTTAATAGAAAAAAGAAAAAGTTTGTGGGACAATAAAATAAAGGAGAATGAGTTTTTGGGACGGAAGGCATATATAAGTTTTAAAGTCATTTTGATACTGTTTTGACGACTTGTTAGTAATGAGAACTAGAGTGAGTATTTTTTCTAATTAACGAATACCATCTCGTTAGTTGGTTAATCTTAATGACAAGTTTGAAGAAATACCGTTTTCGAGAATTTCCTCAAAATTCTAACATATGATATTATGTTCAAGAGTCAAATTCGAATAGTAACTTTTTTTTTACTCCCTTGTTTGCCATGTTCTGTTCTATTGAAGTGTGGAAGGAATGTCAACTTCACTGATAGCAATTTGGTTCTACAATGTGTTTATACAGATTGATCTATCATTGGTGTGAAATTGGGACTCTCTCTTATATTTAATATCCGCAATGGTGGAGTGGAGACAAGAGACTTTTCTTTGACCCTTAATGATGTTATGTTATATACTCCGTACATGGGTACCTTAAAACGGTATCAATTTTTTTTTAAAATAATCTCAAAATTTTGATACCACTATTTACATCATGTTTTGCACAAACACGAGTAAACAAGATCGGCCCAAGAGTGAATCCGGGTGCCCTAGCTCATGTTTATTTTTTTCAAGGGCCCAACATATTTAACTAGTAAAAATATGCTAGATTTTTGTTAAAAATAAAATTTTTAGAAATTTAATTCTTTTTTTGAAAAATTTACTTAAATAGCACTAAAATATAATGATTTTCTCTAAATAGCACCACATGTGTTTTTCTTCCCGATGTAGGACTTTTAGTCATTATGCATTATTCATTATTCAAGTAAATATTCGCCATCACTGGCCATTATGGATATTATTAAGTGCTATTTAAGGAATAAAACAGTTTAAGAGCTATTTAGGAAAATGAATTAAGTTTTAGTGCTATTTAGTGCAAATATTTCTCCTTTTTTAAGATTACTTAAAACTCTAAGATAACTATTACAATATTTAATTATAGTACTATAATTTTGTTGCATGTATTACTATAATAGTAATTGTTGTTTTAAAAAATAGTTTATATAATGTAATTTGTTAAGGATAAGTGTAATGCCCCAAAATATACCCTCAGTTATATTGAATTATTATTCAAATAAACAAATTTCTTTTGATTAGAATAAATTATTATTGGGTTTTGGGACGAAATGATATATATATATATATATATATATATATATATATATATATTCAAATAAACAAATTTGTTTTGATTAGGATAAATTATTATTGGGCTTGGATCGATCCCCTGAGTAAAGTTTTGCTAGCCTGGATCAATCCTGATGGCTAGATCGATCCCCCGAAACTCTGATTCGAAAATTTGTCCGAAAATGTTATTTTTGAGCACTAAAATCGTATTTTTGATACCAATCAATTATGATTAATATAAAGACGATTTTTGGAATAAAAATGATGTTTTGACAACTAAAAAGACCTTACGTGATGCATGACGGTAAGCTAGGGTGTTAACACTCGAGATTAGGCCGCTATTTGCTATTGGATGTTATGTTGGTTGATGATTATGATGAATGATTATTATGATGATTATGATTTGATGAATCTACTGATTAAAATGATTGCTAAAGATTGAACCATGAATAAAATGAATACATTGATAATTATGAAATAAATTTTATTGTTAAGAATATATCTAGAAGAACTTTAAGATATATTGATTTTGGTTTTTAAGACTATCTAGAAGACCTCTAAGATAACTTGGAAATAGGTCTTGCGGGTATAATTATGAATATTCAGTGGTCTGGGTTAAAACGTACGTAGGGGATCCAAGAACCAAAATTAAGTACCTACTCGTTTAGAGGTATCACCCAACCCGACAGTGAGCATTCCGTTGTTCGGTTTCTGGTTGGCCTTAAGAGAAGGTAAGTTTTAAGATTTTGAAGACCTCTTTTATTTTAAACTAGGCCTTGCTCAAGGATTGTTTAGGAGTACCTTAAACTGGAATATAGTTTAATTATCTTAAACTAGAATTCGTTTAAGGGTTGATAAACATTAAAATGATTGTCCTTAGACTAAGAATAATTTAAGGATATTGCTGAATGTTGACATTATGAATAAAGAATAAGAAAGATGAATATGAATGATGAATGTTGATGTTGAATGTTGAATATTGAATGATGAATATCGAATATTGATTATTGAATATCTGAACTGAAAATTATGTGCATGATATCAAATGATTTGATTATGAATTGAGATTCAATTTATATGGATGTTTGATGCATTAAATATGCATACTCAGCTTTATCGCTGAGCGTGTAGTGTGTTTTATTTGCTACACGCAAGTTAACAGAAAGAACGATGTGATATGATCCTGGCGGCAGATGAGGCGAGATGGTCAGAATGGATGTGACAAGTCTTGAATTAATTGTGATATAATAACACTTAAATTCGCTTCTGCAATATTGTCAAATACTCTGTAATGTTTATATAATGAAAATTATTATTGTGATAAATAAAAGTGTTTGAAAAGATTTAAATTTTTATGATTACCAAATTAATATTTTAGTCCGAAAGGTGCTGTAGACCTGGACAGATTAGGGTGTTACAATAAGACCCATTTTTTTGTCTTGTTTGGGCCCCTCAAATCCGGGGCTTGCCTTGTGCACAATGAATAAGTGTTGATGCCGCAGCGATAGGTATTGTTTTGTGCGTATTTGTACAAAGCATTAAGTCGATGGTAGTGTCAAAATTTAAGGGTTATCCTAGCACAATAGTACTCATACATAGTAATAGTATAATATTCCTACATTTAATCTTTGGAAAACTCCTTGAATAAGAGTAAAAAAGTAAGAAAATACCAAAATAGTAGACATAAGTCTTTTATGAACAAAACAGGAGTTCACATGGTCATTCCCACTTACACTTCCCCATTTAATATATTGCTACGCTGCAACTGCTACACTATCACTTTCGCACTGCCATCCATCGCCGTTGGTCACCAGAGTGCCGTCGCTGATCGCCAACGTTTGACCGATCACATCATCTTCTTACGCTCTCATCACTTTTTTATCACACTGCCAACGCGTACTCTTCTATCATACTATAATTATACTTTTATTTTGGTCTTAAAAGATTTGCGTGACTCGTATTGTAATATTTTCATGTTTTTTACTCTTATGCAGAGATATTTTTTTAATCTTTAGACTCGATCTTCTTCTGTACTTCGTAGTTTATAACTCTTGAATTTGATGGAGTAGTACATTTTAACATTCTTTTTTTTTTACTACTTTCAGGCTCTCTTTGTTGCAGTTCTAAAAATAGAATTTGATGTTGGACGAAACTTCAATGACTTGGAAGAAACATGAAGGAATTAGAAAAGAAGTATTGAAAAAAATTAAAATATGTTGAAATAATTATTTTATAAATTTCATATTTTATTTAAATAATTTATACTCTAGTTTTTAAATTAATATATCTCTTTTTATATTTTACGATGTCATTATATTTTATCCCAAATCATATTACTAATTTTTATGTGACTCACACTATAATTTTATTTACTTTTTAAAATTAATATTAATTATATAATTTTTCATTTCTTAATTTTTATGTCACTAATTCATGTGATAAAAATAAGGAAACAAATGAAACAATAAAACGAGGTCATATGCACATATAAAAATTTAAAATACTCAGGTATTAATTTCACAGAATTATTTATTCACATATACTCCATACTTTAGAGCATTCATATCAGTGATTTCACTATGAAAGAAAATAGTGTGCATAATTATTTTATTCAAAATTTTAAAACACGAAGTATAATTTATAGTCAAAATTTTAAAACATTGACTATTACCTCTTTCAAAGATAAATATTTAATAAAAATTTCAAAATCATAAATAGAATTATAAATTAATTAATTTAATATTTTAATAATTTACGTTGACTTTATAATAGTAACTAAAACTTTTCTCGAGGGTATTTTTTAATCAAGTTGTGACATTAAATAAATTTTATATTATATTGGTATAATAATAAAAATAACAACAACAACAATAATAATAATAATAATAATAATAATGAAAATGAAAATACACCTAAATATTTTTTAAGCCACTTTTGGAAGAAATTTAAAAGCGGTTGAAGAAACTAGAAGAAATCAGAAGAAACTGAAAGAAGTTAAAAATTATGAAAAGTTAAGAGTTAGGACTAAAACGAACAATGTTGTAAAAACTATGTTACAATTGTAGTATGTGTTCATACATACTTTCTCAACCTATTGAAGCACAGAGAGTTATCGCCATCACTAAGTGCTGTTTGTTTCAGCCTCTTAATGGTTCAGAAGTCTGAATGGTTAAGAGATTTGCTTCTGAATGATTAATACCTCTTATCTGGATTGATCAGACATTTGCCTCTGAATAGTTAAGCAATATACTAGCTCTTAATGGTTCAGACTTCTTACTGGTTCGGCACTTAATGGTTCAGACCTCTTACTGATTCAGCACTAGCCCATTCAGAAGTTGTCAAACAGCTCTTAAGAATTGAACATGTGACATATCATTAGGAAGAGTCACCTTGATGATATATAAGGTCTTTGGCACTCATATAAACTTAAATTTATACAAAAAAGATTTATTTTTATATAAATATATTTATACAATCTATATATAGAAAAATAATTTACATAAGTAAAGTATCGAATTTGATTTCTGGCAATTGCGATATCTAGCAAGTATCCTAAGGATAAAACCCTTTATGAGTGACCCTGTGAGGATGACATTCATCTTTTTTACAAAAAAAAAAAGAGACTAAAAGGCCACTTTGCATAATTATATTCCAATAGTATAGGCGGAATAGCCAGTCACTCACTGAAAAGGGGAAAGTTACTCTTTTTAATTTCCCCTATTTTCCTTTTCACATTGTAGATCCAACCCATCCTTCTCTGTCCCTTTATATTATATAACTATATATACACACACTCAGCTCCCTCGGCCACCCAATTACTGAAAAAGGAATGGATCCCCTGTCGTCGACGGCGGCGTTGCTTCTCGACGAGACGGTTTCCGTCGCCGGAGACGACGTGTCGGGGCCGCTGTCCTTGGTATGGGGGGAGATTACCGGGCTCGGGCTGCCGCTTCTGGTGCCGGCGATCAACGCCGCCGTGTGGGTCTGCTTGGCAATGTCGACGATGCTGTTCGTGGAGAGGGTGTACATGGGTGTGGTCATGCTCTTCGTGAAGCTGCTCCGCCGGACGCCGGAGAAAAGATTCCGGTGGGCGCCATTGGAGGGTGACGTCGAGCTTGGAAATGCGGCTTTTCCCATGGTTCTCGTTCAGATCCCAATGTACAACGAGAGAGAGGTCATTATTATTATTCCTTGTTTTTTTTTTTTTCGTCTCAAAATTATTTGTCTTAATTATTTTTTTGAGTAATTTAGTTTCAAGTTCTCATATATTTCACAAATGGTCTTCAATTTTAGAGAACGATTCCATAATTAGTCCTTTAGGCCAAATATGAGTGAATACTTTTCCCAAAAATAGTTTCTGAAGGGCTGATTTTGAAATAATTTCAAAATTTAAGGATTATTTATGAAATATCTAAGAATTAGGAAATTTAGTCGTTTTTTAGTGATTTTCACCACGTACAAATTATATAGAATTCAATTTATTTTATAAATTATGTTTGATATATCAGATTTTTGCATTAAGAGTATTTATTGATCTGAAGTTGTACGGAGTATTTAATTGGTCTAACAAAAGTCAATAATATTGGGAGGGGGAGAGTAGGTTCGTTAATTAAATTATTTGTTGAATTTGTTTTTGGTTGGTTTGTGTTGTGTTTGTTTAAGAGGTCAACAGTGTGGTTGACTATTGCCCACATTATTGCAAAAAGTGTTTATTCTTTTTCTTTCTTCTTGGAATATATTCATTCATTTTTATTCTATCAATAAAAAATATTCCCAAAATTCTTTTTTATCTCATCCATACACGCCCCATAGAAAAGTTCACATTTTCTTTTTGTCTTTTTTGAAATAAATTTCATACTTCACATATTTTCTTTCATGAAAAATAACTTGGTAATTTATACGAAAAAATATTTAACCTTTTACAAAAAATTTACCACCCACTTTTCTTTAGTTTTAGAACTTTTTTTTATTCAATTCTACGCATTGTATAATGCATATTTATTGAACATGCGTCCAAATAAAGTGAACGAAATCTAATTTCATTTAGGCTCCGTTTGTTATACAAATTCAAACTATGAAATTGGAATTGAAAACAACAATTCCAATTCAAGTGTTTGATAGCACAAAAATACGTGGATTTGGAATTGGAGAATTCAATTTAATCCAAATCTATTCTAATTTGAGAAAGTGCATTTATTATTATATGAACCGCATTCATAGAGTCTCCTCATTTCTTGCTCTCAGGCTTAGTTTGGTACACGGAATTCAAACTATGGAATTGGAATTGTGGACTTCAATTCCAATTCTGGTGTTTGGTAGCACAAAAATTATGTGGATTTGAAATAGATAGTGCAAAAAATGAATTAGAATTGGTGAATTCAATTATGTGGAATTAAATTCCATGGAATTCCAATTCCAATTCAATTCCATTTCCATCAATTCCGTATACCAAACGGACCCTCAATGTTCATGATAGAAGTACTCTTCAATTTATCGTCCAGATACGATTTCATTAGCTTAGTTTAATTTAATTGAATCGAAGAAAACCGAATTGAACTTTAACTGTAATTCTATCTATATAATATTCCGTTCGACTACAAAGTAATTCCCACCCTTTATCATGTTAAATCCCCAACCTTTCATTGAGCCTTCCAATTAGTTTACATTTTTGTCAAAGTTATCAACTAAATGATACTTTTTCCCTTCTATACTACTGTTCATTAACATTTTCTAGATACATTGAATAATAAATGAATGTGAACATACGTTATGTCTACATTCATTCACTTTTCAATACATCAAAAAATTACTATAGTTGATAGTTCTTATGGAATGGAGGGTGATGATGTAAATATAGCTGGGTGGGTTGACCGGGTCTGACCTGGACACACTCGACCCGTAACAAAATACACACAACAAGAACACAATGTATGACCTAGACCGGGTAAGTCTCCTCAATCCGAATTATATTTCTTACTCTATCTCAAGAGTGAACTTTAGTGAGAGAAAAATTGGATCCCCTTCTCTATCCACAATCATCATATTTATAGAGAAGGATTTGTGATCTTCCCCTGTTCATTCATGGACAAAATATGAAGCACGTGGGAAAGTCACTCTAGTTAATGGAAGCACTGTACAATCATAGATTTTAATAGCTACAAGCCAAGATACTGTTTAATCAAAGACTATAAATGGATATTCTCAATCCAATCAACCCTGCAAGATGACAAACATTCCTTTCACTGTATGCCTCGTGATGGATGAGCGGCGGGGTGTTCCCTCGGTCTTTGACGTGGTTCACCATGCCTAAGAGATTGGACCAATGTTAGCCAAGTAACGTGACATGACCGGTCACCTTTTCTAAAAGGTTACCCGGTCATTTCTTGAGCTCAACCCGTCTCTTTGGTCTTCCAGAATAACCTTCATAACATTAGGTGACGATTTGGCTAACGCCCAAAATATGACCGGTCACTTTTTGAGGGAAGTGACCGGTCAATTTTTGACCCATCCCAATCGAAGAGTTGTCCTCGTTTGGTGATCGAAGAAAGTGACCGGTCATGTTTTGACATGTCCCTTTCGATTTTCCGGGTCGGGGATATAAGGATATACCCATCAGAGGGAGTAGTAACATTTACTATAGAAGAAATTATTGTTGAATTTTTAATGTGTGTGTGTATATATATATATATGTATGTATGTATATGCAGGTGTACAAGCTTTCAATTGGGGCAGCATGTGCACTATCATGGCCATCCGACCGAATCATAATCCAAGTCCTTGATGACTCAACGGACCCCATTGTTAAGGTAAATTCATTAATTCCGCATTTATTTTTTCGTCCTCTCATTTCTGCTTCTTTTGCTATTTATTTCACCAGTTTGCTCATTGGGATAACTGTTTGAATTTTTTTCAAATTTTCCAATAAATATGTTTGAAAATGGGAGTTTTGGGTTTTTTTTTTCTCTTTCAAAATAATAAAGGAAGTGACACGTGACATGAAGAAAAGGAGCCTGCAGTGTGTCGGCCTCTCTTGTTAGGTTGTACTCTATTTTTTTATTAATGCTACATAAAGCATTCATTGCATCTTGCTTGTGCTAGTCTTCGACTTCGTTTTGAAACATCGTTTAGAATTAGCGTTAGCGTTTCGTGTAATTTTTTAAATGTGTCGATGGGTATATTGAGATCGCTCCAAGTATATAGGCCCGGCCCAGATAAGCCCACACATTTTGGTAAGAAGATGTTAAGAATGTGAAATGGGTAGGACTGGGTCGGCCAATTAATGAGGTTGTGAATCAGCCAAGTGACGGGTTGATGTACACGTCAGACCTAGGAGACGAAGATGGTATTTGAGAGTGTGTTTGAGAGGACAACTTTTCGACGATACGAAAATACAGTTTAAAGTGTTTCTACTTTAGGAAATAAATTATAGCTTCATAAGTGAAAAAATAAACTCTAAAAGTATTTTGCAGCAAAACTAAGGCTAACTGTTTTCAACTTTTGACTTAACACCTCTACGTTTTTCAAGAATATACCATACCCCCAAACTTCCTCGAAAGGTTATATCTTCCATGATCTCCTCCATGTTTCCCGTGATCTCTCATGATCATAGGCCACGTTCGGCAAGAAGGATACCGGGGGCAGTTTCTTACAATTTGTTAGCTTTATGATCTCTATTAATACCTTCTTTCATCTCTCTTCATGTGATTCGATTAATATTCATTTGTCAAGTGAAAATTAAATTTAAAACACTATAACTAAAATGCTTTAATTGGATAACATTGTACGTGTTTGGTAACAGTTTCAACGTTCTTTAATTTCTCTCACACCTTTCTTTTTACCCTTCTTTTTCATGTATGGGCGTTTGGAATTATAGACAATGGTGGAAACGGAGTGCCAAAGATGGGCGAGCATAGGAGTAGAGATAAAGTATGAGATTCGGGACAATAGGAACGGATACAAAGCCGGGGCGTTGAAACAGGGCATGAAATGGGACTACGTCAAGCAATGTGACTATGTAGTCATCTTCGACGCCGACTTCCAACCCGAACCCGACTTTCTCCTCCGCACCATCCCGTTCCTTGTCCACAACCCCGACCTCGCCCTCGTCCAAGCCCGTTGGAAATTCGGTATCTCTTTTACTCGTTTTATTTCTGAACCCACATTTTGAATTCCTAAGATATTTAATGAGTTAATTCTAAAATTATTTTATAATGATGATGATGATTATTATTGAATTTTTTTTTAAAAAAATAATAAAATATAATTATTTCCCCACAAATTTGGTCTCATTTGAGATGATAAGGGGACATGTCTAGTGTTGTGGCACACAATAGTGAGTGAGACATGTGCAAATAAGGGAGAGGTGGGTATGGCCGCGTTTGTTTTTTGTTTGTTACTTTGAGTTGTCAAATTACGCATAAGTGTGTACCCTACCAAACACAACTCCAAAATTGTGTGGTCCATGCACATACCATGATACTATATTATACTCTCTTCGTCCTGAATTAATCATTTTCTTCTTCAATCAGTCAAAAAAAATTATCTTATTTCTTCATTCTTTCGAATAAAATATTAAATATGTGTTTCATAATTTTTTTCTTTTTCTAAAAAAAAAATAAACCGCTCACTTTTTACTTTTTAATACTTTTCATAAATTCTATGACGTTACACTGAGACAATAGATTCCGGACAGAAGGAGTATTTTATAGAGTAGGGTATCACACTGCCACTTAAAGTTGGGAGGACAAACCAATCATGACATCACAAATAATTGGCCTCGAAGATAGCATATGCTTACCTAACTTAAATTATTTATGATTTTTTTTTTTAAAAAAATTAATTTTATATTCTTATTATTCAATATTTTATTATTTCTGGACTAGAATACAATTTATTTACTACCTAAACAAGATGTAAGAAATGAGAAATGTTTTGGGGGATGCAGTGAATGCAGACGAGTGCTTGATGACAAGAATGCAAGAAATGTCTTTGGATTATCACTTCACAGTGGAGCAAGAAGTTGGCTCTTCCACTTATGCCTTTTTTGGCTTTAATGGTAACAAAAATGAAATAAATTTACATGCCTACTTCCAAGAACGTGTTTTAGGATTTTTATAATGTCATATTATGACACTCAAAATGAGTGTGAAACTAGTGTGGACGTGTGGTACTCCAATCCGTTTTTAAAACGCTTCCTCTTTTATTTTTTTTCTTTCATTAAAGCATTTTCACTTTCTATTTTAAAATAAGAGTCCTTTTAGAAACGGAGAGTGTACTATAGTGTATATTCTATAGTGCTTTTTTGGCATCGTATATCCTACACACACACACACACACATATGTAAAATTGGGTTTATCTCTTGAAGTGTTGGCATGCCACATGTGCATTGAGATGGATGAATTTCATTGGTCCATTTGATTTTTTAAAAAGATCTTTTAATACATTTTATTTTATTACATTAAATAAATTTTATATTTTAACACTAGTTAGTGCCATATATCAAAGTGTTTTTTTGATATTATTGACATTCTAATTGTTATTTTAGAGTAAAAACACGAAATGGGAAATATATGCAGGGACAGCAGGGGTTTGGAGGATTGCAGCCATAGATGAGGCAGGTGGATGGAATCATCGGACCACAGTTGAGGACATGGACCTTGCTGTTAGAGCCAGTCTCAAAGGCTGGAAATTCTTGTTCCTTGGTAATATCATGGTAATTTTTATTTACTTATCCATTCCCCCCCCCCATTTCCCTACAATATAATTTGTGTAATGAAAAAAAAGAGTTGTAATTACATGCGGGTACCTAACCGTTCTTTTGACCTTGGAATCCCGGATCATATTATGACCTGACCTGAGCACCTACGGTGCTCTGTTCGTAAAATTGATGGTTCCTACCTTTCTGCCCCCTACCTTCCTATTCCACGACAGCACCCCCTACCCCACCACCACAACCTTTACTGTAGCCAATTGGCGAAATGGAGAAGGGGGCAGTGGGGATGCTGTGGTGGGGTGGGCAGGTAGGGGTAGGGGTTAGGGGAGATAGGAACAATCAATTTTACGAACAGAGTACTATAGGTACACCGGGTTATAATATGACTCGGAATTCCAAGATCAAAAGATTCTTGCCAGCTCATGTGGATGTGTATATTTTTTTTAACTCGAATGTGTATATTTTTTTTAACTCGAATTTTTGTTATATATAAGGTGAAAAATGAATTGCCAAGTACATTTAAGGCCTTCCGTTACCAACAACACAGATGGTCATGTGGGCCAGCCAACCTTTTAAGAAAAATGTTCATGGAGATTGTCAAAAACAAGGTAAAGTGTCACACTCACATCCATGTTACAATTTCTAGACTTGACCTTAGACTCTAAATCTAAGACCACCCTAACCCCTCTTCCTTAATCGTCAATTTGGCAGTTTAATTCTGCCAAATTGCGATTAAGCGAGGAGATTGGGTGAATGATTTAGGGAGTGGGTAGTTACGTACTATCAATTTTACAAACGTGACATTCTAGAATCTTCAATTGAACTGGTATACCTAATTGACACCAATAGTAGTGGTGTCAATGTAGAATAAGGAATTGGACTGGTATAGCCAATTGACACCAATATAGAATACAAGAGATCATTCTAATCATTAAGGAATAAGTAATTATGGCAGTAATAGAATAAAGAAAGTAATACGGAGCGATAATAATAATAACAAGAATAATATCTTGTTTCTTATTATTTTTAATATTCCTAATTAATAGAATGCACTATTTGAACAAAAAATGCAGAATGTGAATACTTGGAAAAAGATCTATGTACTATACAGCTTCTTCTTCGTGAGGAAAGTGATCGCCCACATCGTCACCTTCGTGTTTTACTGCGTCGTCATCCCGACGGCGTGTTGGGTGCCCGAGGTCAACATTCCCAAATGGGGCGCCGTTTATATTCCCATCGTCATCACCCTCCTCAACAGCGTCGGAACCCCGAGGTCTGCTAATGATTAAAATTATATAATGATCATGTTACAGTCACACCATAGATAATATCAAGGTTGACACTCTAAGTGTTTCGCATATTGTCTGTTCATGATCATCTGTGATAGTGTCAATCTTGGTGTTATTCGCGCGGTCATTAAAGTATCATTTTCGATTTGTACCGTATCGATGATTTTTTTCGATATATTGAAAAAAAAAATGATGGGCATGGGCATGGGCATGCAGGTCATTTCACCTGTTATCATTTTGGTTATTGTTTGAGAATGTAATGGCAATGCACCGGACTAAGGGCACCTTCGTAGGGTTGATGGAGATTGGTAGGGTCAATGAATGGATTGTGACCGAGAAACTAGGGGATGCTTTCAAGTTGAAATCTGCTGTGCAGCAAACCATTAAAAAACCACGTTTTAAGATTGCTGAAAGGTACACCTAATTAATTCTTATTAATTATACACTTCATGATCTGACCTGTTTTTAATCTCGGACTCGACTTGTAAGTACTCACTTCGCCTAAAGAAAAAAATATCCGTTCAAATTAAGAATAAGTATTGAAAAGTAAATGGTTAAAGTTTGTTCATATATACTCCCTTTGTGCATTAATTTCTTTCTCAATTTTTTTGGGCTGTCCAATTTTTTTTTCCCGTTTCCAATTTTGGCAAAAAACTTTTGATGAATGTGCCATTATATCCCTACTTTTTTCTCTACACTATTCACTTTATTCCATCACATCAAGGGCAAACTTTTCTAGTTAATATTTACATATAATTAAACTTGTTCAAAGTGCAGAATGCATCTACTAGAGCTTGGATTTGGGGTATACCTCATGTTTTGTGGCTTCTATGACCTTTTTTTTGGGAGGCAATTGTACTTTTGGTACATCATACTTCAAGGGATTGCCTTCTTTATTATTGGATTTGGATATATTGGCACCATTGTTCCCACTTCTTAGCATGCAAAAACAAAAAAAAAATGAAAACCCTAAGCTATAATTGCTTGGTTTTTTCATTTTTTTGCCTTCTTCAAGGAAATTTTGGATGGTGGAGAGATAATGCATGCATATATGCATTCATGTCTTGGCTGGCTGAGATGGATTTGTTCGAATGTGCAGAGATTTCATCAATTCAAGAATGCTTAAATTGGAGAATAATAATTTTTTTTCAAAAAAAATAAAAAATAAAAATAAATATGAGGAGCACATATATTATTTTCAGTAAATTGTATCATTAGTACAGTTATTTATTATATTCAATTTTATCTCTGTATGTAATTTTGCTTCAATTCACTCTTTGTAATTTGTATTCCACAACATTGTGTAAAAATAAGGTTGCCTAGGTCATTCTTGTATTGTTTAGTTCATCCTGAATAATGAGAGTATTAATGTAATCTCAATTACGAGTATCATAGTAAAGATTAAAGTTTTTCATCATGTATCATGTTCAGAGTATTAATCATTGCGTATCAAAATTATCTTTATATACATTGGAATTTTTATTAAAGAACTCATCATGAATACGACTAAAATATATAGAAACTACTAAAATATGAGATTTATGTTTTTATTTTTAAAATTAAATGTAAAGTTTTTTGGAACAAAGAATATCTTTTTTTAGATACTTGCTCTCTCAAAATTTGTCTCAGAGAATTCAATTCATTCCCTACATTCTACATGGTATTGGGGCTATTCTGTGATCATACATAAAACCTACTTCCTCCGTTCTCAAAAACACTTCTTCTATCATTTTTTCACTTCCAGCAAAACACTTCCACTTTCTATTAAAAAACCACTTTTACCCTTACTTTTTCATACCCTACCTATCACATCATACTTTTTCTCTAATAATCTATCCATCACATCTTACTTTTACACATCACATCAGGGGCAAAATTGGAAGTCAACTATAATTTAACCCTTCCTTATTTTGGCTCCAAGTCGAAGTAGGAACCTTTTTTGCAAACGGAGGGAGTAGTATTTTCGTCCGTCAAAGTCTTCCATCGATTAATTTCCAAATTTTTGGCTGATTGATCAATCATTTTCACAACAGGATGTTTTCCGTTCGCATGTTTGTTTGGATCACCTGACAGTTTCGTCCAAGAAGCCTTCATCCGAACTCATGTCTTCTCATCTTATTCGATCGTAGGTCTTTGCCCGACAGGTCCAGAATTAAATCCCTTTAATCGCAGGTCTAAGTTATCTTTGCGTCCGCCAATCCAGTTCGGTGCTCCGTCCAACAACCATTGTCCGGTAACTTCACATCCGACAATGTCATGGCGGTCATCGAAGGTGCCAAGAAAAAAAGATTGATTCTTTATCCATCTTCCATATATAGTCTCCCCCCGTATGAACTATGAAGGTCTTAGTAATTCTTTTACCAAATATCTTCTCAAGAGTGGTAATTTTAATATTTGGGAAAAGACTATTCGTAACGCTTTGGGCGATAGATGCAATTTAGTTTTTCTTACATCTACCAAGGTACCCAAGCCCCTAACGAGCATGAGCTGTCCGAGTGGTACGCCAACAATCAAATCATTTGCAGTTGGATATTTAATAGTGTGGATGAATTCATCCAACCTAGTATTGCCTCTCACACTATTGCTTCTAGATTGTGGGACGATCTCAAAAAGCGATACAGTTGCACTAATGGTCCTCGAATTTATCAACTTACAGCTGAATTAAATTCTCTAAGACAAAAAGGAGTGAGTGATGTTGTGTATTACAATTAGTTCATCACAATCTGGAATCATTTGTATGGCTCCACTCATCGTGATGGAGGTTGTACTTGTGCCGTTGTAGTTGCTAATGGTGCGCGTGTCGAGCGAGATAAAACAATTGGTTTTCTGTTAGGGCTTGATGATGAACATTTTGGTGGACTCTGATATCAATTTATTGGCATGGCACCTGTCTCAAACTTGGATAGAGCATATTATCTTGTGTCACAAGAGAAATGCCATATAACTATTGTCTGTAGGCAGGATGACCGTACTGATTCAATCGCGTTTGTCGTGCAAAGCCCAACCGCCTCTAAAAAATTGTCATGTTCACATTGTGGGTGTACAAAGCAAAATGTGGACACTTGTTTTGAGCCGATTGGATTTCCCGAGAACTTTGGAAGAGAAGGTGGGGGTTGCAGGTTATGTTGTCCAACCGAGGTGGTCGTGGTCAATCGAACGTTAGAAAAGCAGGCCGTCTGCCATTGCCGGCAGCAGTAGTACCACCCAAGGTAGCGGCGGTCCTGCCAAGGCACACTCAACAAAAGGTGATGTTCAAAGTGGTTGTCTCAGTGATCAATTAGCTCAATACTACTAAACCTTAAAACATATCCTAATAATTTCTCACCCCATGTGTCATATGAAATGTTGAAAGACTTAAATAACGAGATATGACTTAATTGATTAGAGGTTTTTGTCACGACAGATCTCATTATACAAGGAGTAAAATTCAAAGAATTGCCTCCAAGATTCGAACACCCATTCTGTAGATCACTAGCAAGGCCCACATGATCTGTTTTACCACTCAAGTTGTGCCATGGGAACACTCTAGCAAAAGCAAGAAAACAACTAGATGTAAAACAAAAAATTTAATGAAATAAAGATCACGTAGACCGGGAGTTAAATAAATTAATGATGTATATGAATAATGTAGAATTAGAATGTATTAGGGTTTTGTGTTATTGGGCTCATTATTAGACTTGTAGTTAGGTCATGGTCTTGTAGCTATTATAACTAGCTGATTTATATTTAATGATATCAAGTCATTCAGTTCTAATAAAACTTTTACAGTTGATTTGATAGGTAATCATTATAATATACAAACAAAGAATTGATCTGAACCTAATGCACCCCTGCATCATCTCCAATCGTACAACTTTTCAAAAATTTGACTTTGTGGTCAAATATTTGACCAAAATGATAGGCATTGCAATAAGAGAGGTGCAAGGGTGCGTTAAGGTCAGACCCAGGACGTGAGGGTTTACGGGGGTATGAGAGGTAGAAATAATAAATTTTACGAACAAAGTATCGTAAGTATTTTAAAGCATTCTAATAAGAAATATTGTTAAAATGATTATTTTAAGAATAAGCCAGTCTTAGATAATTTTTCTCTTTAATTTACCTTGTAATAACACATGGGAAATTGTTTTGAGAACAAAGTCAATAATGGCATTTTGTTTTATTAACTTCTTCACCCACTTCTTAACAAAGTCAATAATTTACCTTCTGTCTCTTTCTTTCTCTCACTCCCCTGTCTCCACTGTCTTTTTTGCCCTGCACTAAAACTGCCACCCTATTGATTACTATCTTGAAATTAAATCAAATCACCCATTAATAAAGTGTCCGGACCACACAGATTTGGCCGGAGATGAATCTCTCCGGCGCCTGGACCTTTTCCGGCGTCTCAGAGCTGCCGGCGCTGGTGGCAGGACAGTTCAAATCCTTCAAACTCCCGGCGGCGGCGGCTCCCGCCGTCCTCAACGCTCTCGTCTTCGTCTGCAGCTCGGCGACTGTTTTGCTGTTCGTGGAGTGGATGTACATGGGGGTTGTGATTGCCGTTGTCAAACTCGCTCGGAGAACGCCGGAGAAGCGGTTCCGGTGGGAGCCGCTGGAGGAAGACGGCGGCGACGCCGAGATCGGAAACGCCTCTTTTCCAATGGTTCTCGTTCAAATCCCAATGTACAATGAGAAAGAGGTATTTTACTGTACAGTTTTTAGTTTTTTTCCTCGTCCATTTATGCTGCTGGAAAATTGTGGAGTAAATTTAACTTCACATTATTTCTTGATTTTCTTCTTGCACATAATTCAATTTTAATAGCCCTCTTTCCCAAAATCCATTTCATATTTTGAATTTAATGGAATTTTAAGAATATTTTAGTATTAATTTTTTAAAAATATCCTTGATGTAATAGTAAAAGTAAAATGTAATGGTAAATTATTAATAAATAGATATGATGTGACAGGTAAAATAAAAAGTAGTTGTATAAAAATAAATGTTTAATAGAAAAAGAAATTGCATTTTGGAATTCTTTTGGGAGAGATGAAGCATATAGTGCACATATTAGTACCCGGAATATTAGATATTTCTAGAAAAATTATTTCCTAAGTCCTGCTCAATTTTTTATAGTTAATATTCATGAAGAAATCAACCTAAATAAGAGAGGTGTATATTAAACATGATTGGTATTGGTAATGTAAATGTATTTTAACTCCTATTTCGAAAATAAAAGCATGAAATTCCTATTTTGTGTATATTTTCAACATTTTACTACTACTTTACTCTTTTTCTCATATTCATGTAGTCAAACTATTTCCTACTCTTTAGTGTCACTAGTGTGATATATAACACTAGTCATTTTGAGCACACTACAGTGCTCCGTTCGATTTGTAGTGATTCCTATTTCCTTAACCTTACTTAATCCCCCACTCTAGCCCGTCTTTCTCCGTAGTTGTACCCTCGTAATTGGGTTAACATTTCGATCAAAATTTTGACTAAAATGCTAACCTAATCAGGAAGTGTAATAGAGAGACAGGTTGGTATTGGAGAATTTTAGGGAGGTATGAATCATTTTGATTAAAATAGATTGCAATGTTCAAATTAATCATTGTCATAATATAATACCAAATAATGGCGACAAATATCAAAATAATCGAACTGTTGAAAAATTGACGATTCATATCTTTCACCCTCTAAACCCCAATGCCAGCCCTCTGACCCATCTCATGTGTGCCAATTGACAATATTAAATTACGGTTTTCAATCAGCAAACATTAGAGGGGATGAATTCAATTTGGTACCAAAAATTGTTTATGTGACATTTTGACAAAGAGAGTAACATCATCCCTTTCCATTTGGTAGTATTTTAATATCCCAATATATTACACATTAATTTTACAACTTCAATTCTCTTAGGGTCCGTTTGGTATACGGAATTGGTGGAATTGGAATTGAAATTCCATGGGATTCAATTCCATAGAATTGAATTCTGTCAATTCCAATTCATTTTTTGCACAATCAATTTCAAATCCACATAATTTTTGTGCTACCAAACACCAGAATTGGAATTGAAGTCCCCAATTCCAATTCCATATTTTGAATTCCATGTACCAAACGGGACCTTAATCTTTTCCTTCAAGTAGAATTGGCCACTTGGCCTTCAGCGGAAAGATGCATCTTTCGAATTTTTTAACACATTATTTTTAATATTTTTATGTATTTATATTGTACAGTAGTTTTTTTAAATTTATAAAATGTTATCGTGTTAATTAACTATTTAGGTTTTGTATTATTTAATGTATTTTAAGATTAACTAATAAAAACAATTTAAATTTGTTTAAAAATTATTTTAAAATTAATTTTTATTACTAATTTAACTTAATTATTTGAAATGGTCTTAGTAAGTTGCACAAACACTACTCTAGTGGGTTTCAGCTGG